AGATCAGCCCTCCCAAGGGCTGCAACACATTTGAATCATCTTAATCACTGAAATTGGATTAAGATGGTCATATATGAATATATAAATTATGTATACCTATGGATACATGCAGACACACATATACCTCTACACATACATAATTATACATATGTATCATATTTATAATCTACCCTTAGCCATGCCATAGTATAATAGCTGAAACTCAGAGAAAAAGAGAAAAATATTAAATCAGAGAAAAGAGATTACCCTCAAAGTAATATCAAAGGGGTAATACTAAGTTTCACAGATGACTTCTCAGGAGAAAGAATACCACATATGAAGAATCATATCTTGCAAAAACTGAAAGAAAATAACTGTCAACTTAGAATTCTACCTCCAACAAAAATAGCCTTCAAAAATGACAATATTTTAAGCATGGCACCCAAGAAATCTTACACTAAAAGTTGTTCTCTAGGCAGAAGGCAAAACATCCCAGACGGAAGCTCAAAAGTGCAGGAAGGAACAAAAAGAAACTAAAATATGAGAATGTGCAGAAGTGTAAATGTATATTGACTATACGACAATAATAATAACACTTTGTGAGATTTAGAATTAAAATACACAATAATAATCACCCGTAAATCTTCACTGTGGGGCAAGGGAATGGAGTCGGAAGGAGGAAAACTACTAGAATGTTCTAATGTCTGCATAGTCCAAGAAGAGACAAAATTGACAGTTAAAATTAGATTCGGATGACTAAAGAATGCATGTTGTATAATGCATGCTGGTACTCCTCAAGAGAATGACTATAGCACATGTGACTTCTAAGCCAATCAAGGGAAAGAAAGAACAATATGAGGTGCTCAATCAATTCAAAGTAGTCCAGAAATGAAAGAAAATGGATATTTGGAACAGGCAGAACCAATAGGAAATGCATATGGGATTAAATGTATCTGTGGTTACATTATATAAAATAATGCAATCAAAAGACAAAGAGAGGGGGGAAAAAAGACAAAGAGAGCAGACTGGATTAAAAAATACAACTCTGTGCTTTTTACAAAAGACATATCATTTTTTTGAATTTTATTTTATTATGTTATGTTAATCAGCATACCTTACATCATTAGTTTTTGATGTAGTGTTCCATGATTCATTGTTTGTGCATAACACCCAGTGCTCCATGCAGAACGTGCCCTCCTTAATACCCATCACCAGGGTAACACATCCCCCCACCCCCTCCCCTCTAGAACCCTCAGTTTGTTTCTCAGAGTCCACAGTCTCTCATGGTTCGTCACCCCTCTGACTTCCACCCTTCATCTTTCCCTTCCTACTATCTTCTTTCTCTCTCTCTCTCTTTTTTTTTTTAACATATAATGTATTATTTGTTTCGGAGGTACAGGTCTGTGATTCAACAGTCTTACACAATTCACAGCGCTCACCATAGCACACACCCTCCCCAGTGTCTATCACCCAGCCACCCCATCCCTTCCACCCCCCACCACTCCAGCAACCCTCAGTTTGTTTCCTGATCATTTTAAAACACAGGAACACATGTAAAATATAAAGATAGGTTAAAAAAAAAAGGGATAAACCCTATGATCCAGCAATTGTGCTAATAGGTATTTACCCAAAAGATGCAAAACTACAGACTTGAAGGGGCACATGCACCGTGATGTTTATAGCAGCGTTATCAACAATAGCCAAACTATGGAGAGGGCCCCAATGTCCATGGACTGATGACTGGGTAAAGAAGAAGTGGTGTATATATACGATGGAATATTACTCAGCTATCAAAAAGAATGAAATCTTAGGACGCCTGGGTGGCTCAGTCGGTTAAGCGTCTGCCTTCAGCACAGGTCATGATCCCAGGGTCCTGGGATTGAGTCCCGAACCGAGCTCCTTGCTCAGCCGGAAGCCTGCTTCTCCCTCTGCCTGCCGCTCCCCCTGCTTGTATGTTCTCTCTCTCTCTCTCCCTCTGACAAATCAATAAGTAAAATGTTAAAACAAAAAGAATGAGATCTTGCCATTTGCAATGACATGGATGGAGCTAGAGTGGATTAAGCTAAGCGAAGTAAGCCAGTCAGAGAAAGACAAACCATATGATTACACTCATATGTGGAATTTAAGAAACAAAACAGATGAACATATGGGAAAGGGCGAAGGGAAAAAAAAGAGAGGGAGAGAGAAACAAACCATAAGAGCCTTTTAATGATAGAGAACAAACAGGGTTGATGGAGGGAAGGAGGTGGGTGGGGGATGGGCTAAATGGGTGATGGGTATTAAGGAGGGCACTTGTGATGAGCCCCGGATGTTGTATGTAAGTGATGAATCACTGAATTCTACTCCTGAAACCAATATTGCACTGTATATTAACTAACTAAAATTTAAATAAAAATGTTTTTAAAAAAGGAATTCCTACCTAAAGAAAAAGAAATAGAAGGATAGAGCTATACCATGCAAATACTTCCAAAAGAAAGCTGATATAAGCATATTGATGTAAGACAAAGTAGTCTTTTAGGCAACAAGAGATAAAGAATGATGCTTTATAATGATACATATTTCAATTTGGCCAGACGATGTAACAATTCTAAATTTGCATTCATCTAATAAATGGCCTGAGAACATGTAAGCAGAAACTGACAGAATTGTAAGAAAAAAATGGTTAAATTCACCATCATGGTGGGAGATTTTTAGTACTACTCTCTTGATAAAATAAACTGGTTAAATAAATCAATAAGAATATAGAAAATTCGAACTATAAAATTAACCATGTGAGCTGTTAGTATATAGAGAACACTGTATTTGAAAACTGCAGAATATACATAATTTTAAGGACACATATAACATATCTAGAAGTTGACAAATGATATAAATAAAAGGTAGAAATTAAGCTAAAAATTAATAACAAGATTAAATTAAGAAACACACTTCTAAATAGCCAATAGGTTAGAGAAGAAATAAGAACAGAAATTGGAAAACATTTTGGACTGAATGATAAAAAATCTACACATAAAATTTATGGATGCATTTATAGCCCTGTAAGGGGGAAATGTGTAGATTTTAATGTATATTTTAGAAAAGGATAAAAATCAAGATCTAAGCATCCATTTTAAAGTGAGAAAAATAATGAGTTCCAGGTAGATTTCCAATTTATTGTGAAAGATAAAATAGTAAATTTTCTAGGAGATAATATAAGAGAATATCTTCATGACCTTGGGTAGTCAAAGATTTTTAAATAAAACGAAACAAAAACACACACCAGCTATAAGGGAAATGATTGATAACCTCAACTACATTGAAATCACCTTCTGTTTATGAGCAATAACTAATAAAAGGGAAGGTCCCAGTGAGGGAAGATAATGCAACATAGAAGCAATAAAGGACCGATATATAGAATATATAAAAAATACCTTCAAACCGGCAAGAAAAAGATAGACACTCAATACAATAGAAAAATAGGCAAATGAAGAGGACATAAAGGTGGTTATTCAGGGAAATGCAATGTAAACCACAATAAGGGGCGCCTGGGTGGCTCAGTCAGTAAAGCATCTACCTTTGGCTCCGGTCATGATCTCAAGGGTCCTGCGATCGAGGGTCAAGTTGGGCTGCCTGCTCAGCCAGGAGTCTGCTTCTCCCTCTGCCTCTGCCCCTTTCCCCCACTCAGGCTCTCTCTCAAATAAATAAATAAAATCTTGAAAAAAAACACACAGTAAGACACCACCCCATATTCACCAAAATGAATACAATTAGAAAGGCTGATTAATAGCAAGTGTTGGCAAGGATGTGGAGCAACGAACGGGGCTTTCAAACAATATAGGTGCAAGCATAAATTATTATCTACTTTAGAAAATAGCTTGGCATTTTTGTTAGTTGAAAACACGAATGCTCTCTAATCAAAAATCCCAATCCAAGGTATATGGTCAACAGAGAGTTACCATGAACAAGAGTGTTCACTGAAGTATTATTTTAATAATCAGAAACAGGAAACAGCCTAAATATCCATCAGTAGTAAGTGACTAAATACATGTTGCATATTTATACAGTGGAACATTATATAGCAAAGAAACTGAAAAACCTCAGCTGCGTGCAGGAACACAGATGACTCCTAAACAAAATGAGACATGCATACCAAAAATACACTGTTTGTTTCCACTTATATAAAGTTTTAAGAAAGAAAACTGAACCACAGGATCAAAAGATGCTTCCTTAAGTGGCAAAGCTATAAAGGAAGGATTGAAATGGTCACCATAAAAGTCAGGAAATGGTCACCTTTGGCAAAAAAAAAAAAAAAAGCAGATTATGGCTTCGAAGGGAAGACAGAGGGCCTCCGGGGTTCTGGCAATATTCTATGTCTTTGCCCAAATGGTGGTTCCACGGTTGTTTGCCCTGTAATAATTTTTAAAAACTGAGTTTTACATTTTCCATTTCATGCTTTTCTCTATATGTGCATATTATTTCCCATTAAAAGGGTACATACATACATACATAAATCTGATTATGCAAATGGATCCTCTTGCCTTCAGGTTAGACTTTAATCTATTTACCTCGGCTTCAGGGCCATTTGGAAGTTTCCCCCAGCCTACGCCGCTAACCTTGTCTCTCTCCTACTCACACTTAACCTCTACTGTTATAGTCATAGCAAACTAACTGCAGCTTCCAGAACATGGCATCTCACATCTTTTTGCCTTTTGCAAATACTGTTTTTTAATTTACAACTCCCTCCCCACCCTCATTCACCTGACCTAGTTTTAGCTACTTTTTAAGAGTTGCTTCTTCCTGGAAGATTTCTGCTCTTCCTTTAGGTGACGTATGGGCCTATGATTCCCCTGTGATGACATTTCTGTTCCCTTTTTTGTATCCCACAGGACAGTGTTCTTTGAAAGCAGAGAATATTTCCTATTTACCTTTAAGTCTTTTGAGCTTTAGTCAGTGCCTGACATGTGGTAGATAGTCCAGAAACATTTACCAATGAATAAATAAAAACAGAACAGTGACAATTTTATCCTTTTTGTGTTACCCAGGTGGATAACGAAAAACTGGATTTAGAGAGCAAAGACATTGAAAGGATTGATGCCTCCAAATTAAGCCGTTTCATTGAGATCAACAGCCTCCACTTGGTGACAGAGTACAACCCTGTGGTAAGCAATAGCCCTTGTCTCCAGACCCTTTTAAATTCCTTTGTCAGAGAGGGTACTTGTCTCCATAGCAGAGATTTCTTCCTCTAGGAGTTCTAATCCTTTGACCTGTAATAACAGTAACTGTCATTGTTGTTGTTTATGTTGCTATCCTTACTACAACCCTTTACATTTGATAGACTTGTTCCTATTAAACAAAGAAAGAAACCAAGTTATAAAACTTAAATACCCATCAGGGGGCGCCTGGATGGCTCAGTCTATTGAGTATCCTGCTCTTGGTTTGGGCCCAGGTTGTGATCTCATGGGTTATGGGATCAAGCCCCACATCCAGCTCTGCACTCAGCATGGAGTCTGCTTGGCATTCTCTCTCCCTCTCTCTCTGCCCCTCCCACTTGTGCTTTCTCTCTCTCTCAAATAAATAAATAAATCTTTTGAAAGAAAGAAAGAAAAAGAAAGAAAGAAAGAAAGAAGAAAGAAAGAAAGAAAGAAAGAAAGAAAAAGAAAGAAAGAAAGAAGAAGAAAGAAAGAAAGAAAGAAAGAAGAAGAAGAAAGAAAGAAAGAAAGAAAGAAAGAAAGAAAGAAAGAAAGAAAGAAAGAAAGAAAGAAAGAAGAAAGAAAGAAAGAAAAAAAAAAGAAAGAAAGAGAGAGAAAACTTAAATACCCATGAGACGACTAGTAAGAAAGAGAGCCTGAACGCAAAGTCAAGCTGACTGAGTCAAAAACTTCTGAGTTTTGCTGCCTGAGAGGGTTCACTAAAGGCGGCTCATCTGAGCAAACCTCTAGACCACACTTTCCAAACAAAATCGCAATCTCTGCTGAAGGTCCATTTTTTTCCAAAAGCATTCATGACCAATACTTTTGCAAAATACAATGAAAATAAATAATAGACAAATGAAATATTAAAAAATAAGGCCCACTGATCACATATTTGGATGTTACAGCAATGTAAAATTTCTATAAAAGCTTTTAAAACCTCTCCCTACCTCCTTGTGGACCAGTAACTAACAATTCCTGGTCTGGCACCCCCTCCTCATGCCTAGACTCTCACGGTGGTCAGCTTTCTTTCTAGATTTGTCTTCGGGTGAAGGTGATGATCCAACTATTCTGATAATCTTCTGTCCTTCTAACACTCTACAGCTTCTACAAGTACCTTCTATGCCCTGTCTTTTATTTTCCCTGATATAGATCGTAAAGTGATAGAGTATTAATTTCCAGGGACTTCCTCAGTTCAGAAATGCTGTACATTCTCTAATAACACGACTCGAGTTGCACATCTCAATTTTTAGAACTCACAAAGCCATTTCACACCCATTTTCTCTTTTAATCTTCACGTTGATATTTTGAGGGAGGAGAGAGAAAATTATCATGCCCATTTTATAGAGGAGTACATTTAAGATCCAAGTGACTTATTCGGGATCCCATAGTAAGCAGGAAAGGCATAGTGGAAGGCAGGAAGTTTAACTGCCGATGCATTAGTTCATATTGTCTGTTTCCATTTTGCAGTAGAAGAAAAGAGAGTTCAGAAAAGTGGACTAACTTCCTCAAGCCATAGGACTAGCAATTTGAGCTCCAGACACAAACCTTTGCACTTGTCCCTGCTTTTTCTTTTTTTTTTTTTTTATGACTTGTCTGTCTGACTGAATCCTGTGGTTTTTCCATAGCCCCACACAGCCTTCAATAGGAAACACCTCTTTTCCTGTTGACTAAATTCCTGTCCACCTCTCACACCGCGTTTGTCTTCATGGAGTGGTGACTCCATTTCCATTTTTGCTAAGATTCCAAACACGTGCACCCCAGGGGTGTTGGCAGCAATACTCAAACAGACATTTTTTCTCCTAGACTGTCATCATTCTCATGATTATGTCTGTAGAGGTCAGGAGTGCATGTGGGAGCAGAAACGATGATCTGAGAGTCCCTGGGTTAATGGCCCTGGGGTCCTGGAGTTCTGCAGGCGAACGAAGGTAGGGGCAAGAACTGGTCTTCCTGAGTTCTTAGTCTCTTTTCTTACAAAATACTGACATCGTTTTTAAGTTCCACATTAGTAGTGAAGGCAAATCACATCAAGAAGAAATTAGGTAAGAATTTCTTTAGAGAAGCAAGTCCAACTTTTATTGCAACCTTTTTCATTTCCCCAAAGTGATATTTTTCTCATTTGGAGACCTGCCCCCACCCACTATTGTAGATATTTCTCGCCTGCTGTTGATGCAGAAGTTTGCACAATGACAACGAGGAGGCAGAAACCCACAACCACGTATTAGGCCGGCTGTACACTATTTTTTTTAAAGATGTATTTATTTATTTTACAGGGAAGCAGAGGCAAAGAGAGAGGGAGCGGGAGTCTTAAGCAGACTCTGTGCTGAGCACGGAGCCTGATGCAGGGTTTGATCTCACAGCCCTGAGATCATGACCTGAGTTAAAACGAAAAGCCAAAAACTCAACTGACTGCACCACCCAAGCACCCCACCCCCCGGCTGTATAGTTTTAATGTACACACTTAATATTTGGCTTCAAGGTGAAAAATCAGGCTGTGTCTATTAAGATTAAATTAATCACTTCTGATATGTCCAATCCCTTCTGCTAAGACAGCTGTACCTTTTGACTCCTTAGCTTTGATTTCTTGACTTCCCAAAAATCATTCTCCATCTCTGCTATGGAAAGATGGATGCATGCTTTACATTTAAGTAGCAGGATTTAGTAAAACAAGAGATGGTTGTTGAACATCCAATCTCCCAAATTTAAAATCCAAGAGCTGGCTTTAAACTCCAGGGAGAAAGTCTCGGGAAAGAACTCATTGAACCCTCCTTGCTGATGTGTTGGCCGATAGAGCTGGAGAAACTCTACAGAGAAGTGTGTAGCTTCCAGAAGTCTACCTAGCTGCTGCCCTTCCCACCATCCTGGGACTCTGCCTTGATGGTTCATTAATCCTCTGTACTCTTCTCTTCCTACACGCATGCTAGTTTTACAGCAGCACTTTCTGTATTTAGGAGGGAGAAGTGAAAAGGAATGGGATTTGTTTAAAACAGAGACACTTGGAGCACTCTTTCAGGAAAAAGAAATGAAGCGAGCCAGTACCATAGTCTCACGCTCTCTCCTCTCCTCACCCTGGCTCACGGCTGTCCCACTCCCCTCCATCACCGACAACTTCATGGGAAATCACCCTCTCTCATCAACAAATAAAGAGCCAATGCTTCTGATCTCCTGAAGAGCTTATCTTATTGCCGAGGTTTGAGGTAGACAGCTTCCGGCGGAGTCCGTTTAGATGGGGCTTTGCATCAGGCAGTACCTCGTGATGGTTGAGAGTCTGGACTCTGGAGCCTGACTGCCTGGTGTGACTCCCAGTCCGCCCCTTACATGACTTTGGGAGAGTTTGTGCCTCAATTTCCTCATCGATAAAACTGAAACTCTGAGGCTTCAGTTAGTTATATGTAAAGACCCGGAGACAGTGCCCCGTACGTGATAAGCATTCAAAGGTGTATCTGACTGCTCTTGGGACAGGAAGAGGAACTGAAAAAAGTAACTGATATGTTACATGGTGTATTCATTGTCCATCGGTATATAACAGATTGCCCCCAAATGTATCAGCGTAGAACAGTAAAAATTGATTCTCTCCCCCAGTTTCTGTGGGCTAACAATTTGGGAGTGGCTAGGCTAGGGGCTTCTGATCTGGAGGCTCTTGCCACCCTTGGTCAGAGAGGCAGTCATCTGCAGGTTTGACTGGAGCTAGAGGATCCACTTCACATAGCTGGTAAGTTAATGCCGGCATTGTGCTGTGTGAATCTCTTCGTAAGGCTGCTTGATGTCCTACACTGGGACTGGCTTTCCCTAGAGTGAGTGATAGAAGAGAGAACAAGGTAGAAGCCTCTATGTCATATATGAGTTAACCTTGGAAGTCACGCTCCATCATTTCTGCAATATCCCAGTTGTTACGGATACTAGTTACCATTTATGTTATGGATGGACAGCTCTCATTTGTATTTCACCCTACTTATTTACTGGGTTGCCACTAATGTTTTTTTTTTTTTTCTCCTTGTCTCTTTCATTCTGCTATAATACACTTCAATTTGCCAGAAAGCGATTGGCCTATTTAATAGCGTGATCCAGATTCATCTTCTACTGATGATGAACAAGACCTCCCCAGAGTATGAAGAAAGCCTACACAGATACCAGAAGGCAGCCAAGCTCTTCCAGGGAAAGGTAAGTCTGTAACGGGAGATACCCTTCTGACTACTCAGTACCAGGACAAAGTACACTTAAAAAAGGGGAGATGGGTCCAGAGAGATTAGACAAATAAGGAAAGTGGGTATGGTTAAGAGATAACAAAGTAAGAACTGGGACATGATGAGTCACATTACTCTGATTTAAAATTAAAGATCTATTTTAGAGTGTTAAAGACCTATATAACCATATCTTCCCTTGGCGGGGAGTCTATTTCTTTTGTTCCTGCATTGAGAGTGGAGAGAAAAATGGAGACCCAAAGATGTTGAAAGTAAAAATCCCCTATTAGTCACAATGTATTTATTCTTTGCTATAACCTCTTAAAGTTTTAGACTCAGGACTTATTGCTCATATAAAGCACCTATCACGTAGCTGGTGCCTACTAGATGTCTAATAAATATTTAGTTCTGTTCCTTCTCTACCTTGTGCAGCTCTGTTTGGTATCACTGAAATAATAAATCTTCAACCACTTCAAGGCTACTGCATTAAGCTAGACCTTTTCTCTTTTCGTTTTTTTTTTTTTTTAAGATTTTATTTATTTATTTGTCAGAGAGAGAGAACAAGCACAAGCAGGGGGAACGACAGGGAGAGGGAGAAGCAGGCTCCCCGCTGAGCAGGGAGCCCGATGCAGGACTCGATCCCAGGACCCTGGGATCATGACCTGAGCAGACGGCAGACGCTTAACCGACTGAGCCACCCAGGCGCCCCTAAACTATACCTTTCCAAAGTTGACAACTGTCTGGTGGTAACATAAGCTGGCTTTCTGGTGGCTGTTTCCCTAACACTGGAAGTTTTCAGTGTTTCTGAATGTAAATGATCCTCTAACAAGAACATTCTAAAGGTTTCTACTTTGGGTAGAAGGTTTGATTTAATAATATCAAATAGATGACATTTATCAAGCACCTACCATATGCTAAAAATCATACTGGACATATTAAATGGATCGTCTCATTTAATCTCCCCCAACAAAAGCCTATTTTGCCAGTCAGAATACTGAGTCTCAGAGAGGCTAAGTAATGTGCCAAAGGCACACAACTAGAGAGTACCAGAAACAAAATTTAAAATGTATTATGTGCTTTTAACCATTAGGCTACGCTTAAGTATTTAGCTAATCACTAAAGCTGCTTCCAATTCTGTGTTCTTAAAATTAAATAAACCTGATCAAAGGGATAAAATACCAAAGCAGAGAAAAATAAGAAGAAATTCATTAAATTATAGGGTACAGACCGCAGGTTCAATCAGTGTAAACTGCAACAATCATGAGGTGTCTCTTCCTCCTGTAGACCTCAGATAGATTTTATTTTCCCTCTCAAACCTCTCCAACTGCAGATTCTTTTTATTCTGGTGGACAGTGGTGTGAAGGCCAATGGGAAGGTGATCTCATTTTTCAAACTAAAGGAGTCTCAACTGCCGGCTTTGGCAATTTACCAGAATCTAGATGAGGCGTGGGATACACTGGCCATCGCAGAAGTTTCTGTGGAGCATGTGCAAAACTTTTGTGACGGATTCCTCAAAGGAAAACGGCTGGTAAGTGGGAGATTCCAGGTACAGCGAGTTGAGTTTTCCTCTCTGTGTCCTCTTATTTCCTGTTGAATAAAAATTCTTTGAGCTCTACTGGATTTGATTAAGAGCAAAAGTACATGAAGATATATGGTGGAGAGGATCGGGATGCTTGCTAGGGTAGAGTCGTGAGAACAGACCTACACGTGCATCTTTGGAAACATCTTGCATATTCAAAGGAGCTGAATTTGGGGCTTTACCGTTCTGTTGACATTATTAATGGGAAAAAACCCAAATTCCTATGTAGAAGAGCTCATGAGATAAAATTAAGGATGGATTTAGGACTTCCAGGAGGCATTAAATAGTTCAGTTTGCTAATCTCAGAGCTCAAAACCAAGCGTGGGCTTCAAACCTAAATAACAGTGTCATGATGTTTTTCAGAGAGAAAATCATGAATCAGAAGAAAAGACTCCAAAGGCGGAACTCTGATCTCTCCCTGATCAGATATATGAAATAAAAAAAGGGCAACTCAAACCTCAGAGACACCAAATAACAGGATCGCCAGGCCTTACACACACGCGCACGCACACACACACACGCACACACACGGCTCTCCGTTTTGTTCCTTAAAATCTCATTTACTCTCCTTATCCTTTCTTTTAAATTGTCTACACTCTCTCACTACCCATCCAATATTCTTCTACACATTCATACCGTGTAGTCCCATACACCCACAACACACGTCACTGAAGGGTGCCTTTAAAAGAACTCCTGTGATATCTCTTTGAAGTGGAGACATTCCTGGAGGGAGGTTGTTCTGATTTGCCATTTTCTAGTGAATCTGTACACGGCACAGGACTTACACGTACACCATAGTTTCTGTTCTTTTATGGTTACCAAGGGGTTGAAACTCCACTTTCTTCATAAGCACATGTCCCTCTCTAACTCAGGGCCAGGAACAAAAGGAAGGTCTTAAACACCTTTCTGGAATTGTCTTTTTGCCAGAGTCAAATGATGTTTTCCAAGTCTCTAAACTCAGCCGAAACAAACCATGTAAAAATCCTATGCTGGTTTAGTGTTCCTAACTCCCGTGTAAATCAACAACCGTACAGTAAATAAAAAGCAATAACGTTATAGGAAAAGACTGGCATCTCTTTGCAGGCCGACCCTTTTGTAAATACCCAGCTGCCCAGTTAAGCAGTAGGTACCTCTCCCTTTGGTGCCCACTGTTTAGCGTCCGGCCAGGAGCCACTAATGTGCTATCGTTAACTCTGTGGGTGGGATGGGAGGTGGGTAGAGACCATCCTGCATGAGGATCCGTGTAAATGTAGCAAAAGAGCTAGGAATCGAATTAGGTAAAAGTTCCGGGGAATAGGTAAAGGAGGGGGCCCCTTGGTGCTGGGGCCGGCTGGGGCTAAGAAGGGTGGATTGTTGCAGGTGGGGTGTGCAGTGCCGCCTATGTGAAGCAGAGGGAGAGTTTGGCGGAGAGTCTCTGGTCCGCAGGCTGTTACTGTCAACACACAGATGCTACATTGTTCCCAGGAAGCCCTTGGCTCTGAAGGAAAGGGCCTAAGTGCTGAAGAGCTGAAAAACCACAGTGTACACCTAAGGACTGGTCCAAGCGAGGAACAGGGAGTGAAAGACTTAGTTGTTTCTTTCTGCGGGGAAAACTCCACAGCCTCTGAGCTGGGAGTCGGCGGCCAGCAAGGAGGCTATGAAAGCAGCAGTGTGTAGGGCATGCCTCTCAGCAACAGGAGACCGATGGATTGTGGGGAAGCCATCCAGCCCATCCTCGGGGCTACAGGAAACCACCCAGCCTCTCGCCTGAGGCTACAAAATAGTCCTAGGATAGGCACACCCCAGAAGCCTCCCTTTGATCCTATAAAGCTGAGCTCTTGACATTTACAGTCGGGAAATTCTTCCTGATATCCCGCTGAGGTCCTCTGGCCACACAACTCATTTCTTCTTACCTGCAGTCCATGGAAATTCGTAACAGTTGCCAATCCCTGCCATCTCCAAGTGGCACCTCCGGTGCTTGCGGGTTGTTCTTGACCTCCTAATCCTGTCTTCTTTTCTCCATACCTACAGTCCAACTCTTCAGCCAATTTGTTTTATTTCCAAGTCATTTGATTAGCTTTCTTATTTTTCTCTCTTCCCTCTTACTCAACTTTACCTCTTTTTTTTTTTTTTTTTTTGCTTAAAATCAAGGATTCCAAACCACTGCAGGAATCTGGCAAATGTTAAAAGACAAATCCTCATGAGCTATATTTTGTTCCACGTTGGGTTAATTTGTCAAATATTTTACTTGAAGTATTTACCCCCATAGCTCCGATCAACACTGACCAGGTCTTTACGGTGCATTTTGCTGCTTGATGACATTTGATAGCAATTTTATTACATATTACTTTTTTATGCTTTTTTACCTTTATTGTATTGAATTGAATAATTCCTTCAGTTTATGGTTCCCCAAAACTGCAAGATAGTTTTGCCTGTCTTCTTCACAGCCTGTTTTTGTTTTTTTTTTTTAAGATTTTATTTATTTATTTGAGAGAGAGAAACAGCATGAGAGGGGAGAAGGTCAGGGGGAGAAGCAGGCTCCCTGCTGAGCCGGAAGCCTGATGTGGGACTCGATCCCAGGACTCCGGGATCATGACCTGAGCCGAAGGCAGTCGCTTAACCAACTGAGCCACCCAGGCGCCCCAGCCTATCTGTTTTTTGTAGCTCTGATGACTCATGACCAAAGAGTGGAACTCTTTCAGAAAGAAGAGATTCTAAAGTTTCTCATTCATTCACTAAACATCAGACTTAGGATTGTAAAGTTCTTTAATTTCTAGATCTTCTCTATCTTTGGGTAATATCTTCTTAAGACTCTACTTTCATTTCCCCAAGGCCATGTTATTGTTGAAATATCTTAGCTACTTTTCATTATGGACTCATTTTTTAAAGTATGAAGAAATTGCCATACTTTTCTTTAAAGTGTGAAGGAAGCAGTGATATTCTACAACAGAACAGTGTAGAAGATACTGGAGGATTTAGAAGACTTTGGTAGAAGGAATAGAAACAGAGCATGATTCAGAGGAATGCCAGGAAAATTTGTGTTTGAGTCTCATCTCTTCTGTGTGTGTGGCTTTGTGACCTTGGAAAACACTATCTTTAAATTTCAGTTCATTGAGGATAGTAAAATAATTGACAGGATTTTTTAAGATCCCAGGTTGATAATACATATGAAATAAAGCCTGTCATTAGTTTTATTTTTTTAACTTAATACTACACTGCCTTCTCTGGGTCATAGTTATTTCTCCAGATTGTCAGAACTTTTAGAAAAAGAGAGCTTTCCCTCAGTACTAAAAGAGCCAGCATGGGAAGCCTCACACTTGGGATTTGAGAAGTATTTGAAATAATTATTTTGACATGTAGGTTTTATTATTACTCAGACATGGTGCAGCCAACAGATCCGGGAGGCAAGTGACATTGAAAAGATAGTTTGTTACAGTTTCCAAGAGGAGGGAACATGTCATACCTTAGGGAACCACCAGGATTGGTCAAGAGGCAAAAGGAGCAAGGGGAAAATATAAGCAAGAGGCTTTATTGTGCTTTCTGTGGGAAGGAACAGGCAAGACCAGGTAAGCTGACTTAAGATCGGTTGCTTTGAATATCAGCAGACTCCGGGGCATAGGAGCTGTCCCTAGTTGTCTGGACCCTGGCCCTGAGGCGTTTAGAGCAGGTGGATAGTGGCTCAGAATATGAGACCCCAGTGAGAACTTAAAGAAGGTTTTTGGGATATGGGCTCTGGCTTGGTTGGAAGTAGCCAGCCTTAGGAAGAGCAATCTCTCCAGGATCAGCAAGGCCCCAGGTGTCAAGGTATCAGAAACACAGGGTTAACAAAATACTCTACACCCAATCTGTCATGGGACTCCTCTCCCGACTCAACCTAGTTTGGTCCTGCTACAAAGGAAGGCCTGCTGTTTTTTTCAGGCCCCTGTTAATACACATTTACCTTGGGTGGGTGGGGGCAGAGCAGGTGCTAAGTGGTGTATTATGAGGGACCAGTTTATTGATTCGTATTCTCATCCATTTATTTAAATACTTACTAATCAATTATAAGTGTGCCAAACAACATTGCCTCCTAAAAGAGCAAAGTTAGCCTTGGATGAGGAGCCGTAGAAAGGGGACATTTCAGTTATAGTGACAACATGGGGCAGCCTAGAGGCCACCAGACTGGCTGTGGGTCATGGACAGGGAACAACAGAACAGGGAAAGCAGGATGAAGAAGAGGGCTGCTGTGGAGAGGGATGGACAGGAGGCTGGAAATAAACCAAGGAAGTCTCAAAGTTAGGGGAAGAGTAGCCACAAGGAAAAATAGTCTGTTGCAAAGGGGAAGAGGCTCATCATGGACAAACTATTTCACAATGAGTTTGGAACCAGCCCTATTTATTTTACCATTCTGAAAATATCTGGTTTTCCAAGCAAAGAAAAATAAGACAGGGAGTGGGATGTATCAGACCCACGCCCCTAATTACAGCACTTTCACATTTCTAGAGAAAAGAAAAAAGAGGAAGTTAAAAACCTCTTTTCAGCTGGAACCTTTGGAGAACAGGTACTCTAGAAATCAAACAAACAAATGAACTTTAAAGTCCTACTCCTGTAAGTTTGAAAGCGAATCCCCCTCTTTCAAATCATCTCCACAAGAGGCCAGTGTGTCCTTTTCTTTCCATTCTGTCATTGCTCACATGGGTTTGACAATGAAAGGTCTGAGTTACATCAGGAGTAAAGGTAAGGAGGTGAGAGTGAGGGCGAGGGGGTTAAGTCACTTCTCTATAGGTTATGAAAAGTGTGAAATCCAGATATTAATGTTTCATCATCCAAATAGTTACATTAGTCTTTTTTTAAAATTGAAGAATAAGTGACATACAATATTGTATCAGTTTCAGGCATACAACATAATAATTTGATATTTATCTACCTTATCAAATGGTCACCACGATAAGTCTACTTACCATCTGTCACCATACAGAGTTACTACAATATTATTAACTGTATTCCCTAAGCTGTACCTTACATCCCATGTCTTGCTTACTTTCTAACTGGAAGATTGTACCTTATAATCCCCTTCACCTATCTTGTCTATCCTCCCAATCTACTCCATCCTTCAGATTTAGAGAAATGAAATTGAATGGTATTTGTTTCTCTCTGCCTGACTTATTTCACTTATACAATACCCATCGGTCTACACATGATATGGTAAATGGCAAGATTTCGTTCTTTTTTAATGGTTGAGTAATATTCCATTATATATATATATATATATACACACCACATCTTCTTTATACATTGATCTATTCATGGACACTTGGGCTGCTTCCATATCTTGGCTTTTGCAAATAACATCGCAATGAATATAGGGGTGCATATGTCTTTTCAAATTAGTGCTTTTGTTTTCTTTGGATTAATACCTAGAAGTAGATTTGCCAGATTGTAGGGAAATTCTA